GAGTTAATTTGCTTATAGTACACCACACCTTTGTTCCAGACTTCACACTAAACAGACAACAGAGCCTTGTGCAACATAAATTTGATTTAAGTAAGAATAAAGCCTCTTAACTTATCATAATAATTTCTATGTTGTTTCTATTACGTATCAGAAAGTATCGGATTCAAAACTTCCAACATTTTAAAACTAAACTGTTTTCATAAGGTATAACTTCTAATTGGATTACTTGGTGTTTTAGGAATACATAGAGAATCGACCTATTCGTGATGTATTTAACGATTTCCTTCATTTTGTAGAGTTTAAAATTCAATATCTTCAAGACAAAAGATAAGATAAAAATAAATAGTGAATCTTCCTTAAATGAGGAACATTATCTGTAGATTGCACATAGATGAACGAAGATCCACTGCATTGCAAACTTTTTGGTGTGAAATTTCTGAACTATTTATTTGGCAAAAAGTCAACATATGCAGAAAAGTAAGATGCAAAATGCTGTTATATATCTATAAGTGGAAAAATACACATATCTCGGAAGTTTTTTTTAAGACTAGTTTTGCTTAATTGCAAGCATAAAATAATAATTATAACAAACTTTCCATTTTAAGAAATGTAAAATAAAATTAAATTGTATTAGCAATTTAATTCGTCATTACTTCTATATATAGTCTTCTGTAGTACTTTTGTAATTTAAATAATATTATTACTATAATGAATAATATTATTTAAAAAAATAAATTTAGTTTTAATTTCAAATACTTTAAACACTGTACACAGCTAAGTTCGACTTCAATATGTACTGGGTTATAAAACTTCAACTAAAATCATAGTAATTAATTATTTACTACTCCTTATTTACTCTATTTAATATATTTCTTTAAATGGTTTTTTATTTGTCTTACAGTACTGAAATGTTACCTAAATTTCACCAAGTAGCAGCTGTCATTTGTATCTCCTTCCTGTTAATAACCATTACAACCACGAAACAGACACCAACAACGACAACAACAACAACAACATCGAAGTTAACTAAATCAGCAACAGATACAACAAAAACGCCAGCAGCAGCAACTGTCAGGAAATCCTCGAACAGTGCCAAGACGACTACATCGCTGCTTCCACTCCAGCCGCCACTAAATGTGACAAGTACAACGACGAGCAGTTTTGAGCCTGAACAAGCGAAACATTCAATAACTGGCGATGTAACTGTCAAAGGTGACAGCTTGTTGAGTGACAGTAGCAAGGAAAAGGTAAAAACTTTGCGTTACATTATATCAGTAGATTTTGTAAAATTTGCACACTTGATAAGTCGATAAAAAAAAATGTAATAATTACACTTTTTATTTACGGAAGCAGGCCAAAATTTATGGCTATTTTATTGGACACGGCAAGGATGCCTCCTTCCAGCAACGCAGTGAATTTCAGAATGGCAACAGAACTTTGGGCAACTACGAAGTTCAATTGCCAGCAGGAGATGCACAAACCCGTGTGGACTTTACTGCCGATGATAAGGGCTATCAATCAGCTGTTAGGTAAGAAATTTAGTTTCACTTCAATATAGTGATGTCATCTACTCCTCACGCAAATATTGTAATTGAAATTTCAGATATGAGACAAAAACAAATCAAAGTACAGTTAGTGGTCATTTCACTCTCGGTGGATACCTAAGAGTGACTCACATATTTCCCAATCTAAGATGCCTAGTAACTCGCAGGGTTACTTGAATTTTGAACTTAATTTCGATAGATCCAAGGCTGCAGAATTGCAGAAACGTAAAAATAAAAAAATTGATACCATTAATGAGGTGCTAACAAATCTTTTTCCAAATGGCTTAATTGATATATTTAAATTCAACTATGCAATTGACAGCCATAACTTCACAAATGCAGCAACAAGTACAACGACGCAGTCAACACCAATTTTTAAGCCCACCGACAATATTAGTTATAGATTGGAGAGTAGTGTTTCCAAAGAATATCGTCGGGAAACAGCGCCAGGACATACAGAAGTTGTTGTTGAGCAAGTCACTTTTCCTTCAGTTACTTCAAATTCAGATTTCAGAGAAAATGCTAATGTCATAACAAAGGATGATTTAATACTTATAAATAGAGCTGCAGAGGAAGCATCTGTTTTGCCTAGCTTACTCATAAAGCCTGAAGAAAACAATACCAATGAATTCCCACAATCCAACGGTCATAGACCTATAATCATACTAGATGACAATAAAGCAGATATCGATGAAATTGTTTTTGATGATAATCAAATTGCTGAATCACAGAATATTGGAGAACATATCTACCAACATATCACAACTCCTACCAAAAGGTACAGAGATACAAGTACTTATAGAACACAAAAGGATTTACCTACACGTCGTCGAAATGAGTTCGTGAAAATAGAAAAAATGCCAGCAAAAGTAACAAAAGGTTCTATGCTTGAAAATTTTAATTATATCCCACAAATTGTATATTCTTCAAATGAACCACAAAAACTAGATTTCCAACCCAGAGAAGTACGTGCGTTGCGCGATTATAACAGCATACTTGTGGAAAATACCGCACAAGAGGCACCATCTCGGAAATTTCTCAAAAATTTTAATCCAACTTTTTCAAATGGGGAAAATATACCAAAAACTAAAGGACATTTTCACTATGAAGGTTATACTCGGCAACCAGCTGCAGAAAGTTCACAAAACGATAAAGCGACACAATTCATGATACAGTACACAGAACAGAATGAAAAGCCCGACGAAAGCAATGATGTGAAGAATACATATACACACGCACAACAAGAAGGTATACCAAACCATCCACAATATAGTCTCCAAGACCAATCGTTATCAACCAATCAACAATTACCAAGTAGAGGGATATTACATACTCAAATACAACATTCCCATGAATACCGAGCACCTGAGGCACCTCAACATTTAAATCAAGATAAAGGAAATCCAAATCAGCCCACAGCCACTTCCGAAAATATTTTATTTGTAACTATAAACACTCCTCAGCCTCCAATTCAAAAAGAGAATCCCGAACTTCGTTATACCTCTGCAGCACCATTACATCAGACATTAAAGACTGCACAAACACCTCATGATTTTGTGTTTGCAGCCGCCACTAACAATCATATACAACAGCCACCAAATCCAAATCAGAAACCACACAATGGTTATACTTTTGTTGAAGTACAGAAATCCATTAACATTCACAATAAGCTAATTACCGAAAAAGATGGCAAGTTAGTGGAACAACATGAGACAATATATCCTCAAGCAAATCAGCAGCGGCAACAACAACAAAGTTACAAAACACCACAATTGAGACATAATTTCATTATCCACCATACTCCACCTCAACAACAACAACAGCATCATTATCATCAGCAACAACAACATCAGCAGCAACAACAACAGCATCAGCAGCAGCAACAACAACAACAACCTCAACCACAACCTCCACAACAACAGTATCAGCAGCAGCAACAGCAACAGCAACATCAGCAGCAACAACAACAACAACCTCAACCACAACCTCAACAACAACCTCAACCTCAACAACAACCTCAACAACAACAGCATCAGCAGCAACAGCAACAACAACACCAACCTCATCCTCAACCACAACCTCAACAACAACAACAGCAGCAGCAGCAACATTACGTGCAACAACCACAACCAAAACCACAGGAGCATTACATACAACATCCACAACCAGAACCAGAACCACCTCAGTCATATCCTCTTAAACAGAATGCACCAGACGATACTTACTCGTCGCTCTCAATTAATCCGATTAATGTACAGCATGTTGACTATGAGCCACCAGAGGCAGCTTCATCGCTATTTCAAGTACATGACGAAGTACCACCACACGATTTTACCTACATACAACCTGGACCACAACAGATACTTCACTACCCAATGGAAGTGCAGCATATTGTTCCAATGACTTATATCATGGATGCCGATCAGCATTATGCACATCCGCAAGCTAGTGAAAATATACAACATGAAGTCGCATATACTCAACAAATTACAACCAACTCACCACAAGCTAAACCATTACGATATGATCCCCCAACTGAATTAGTAGATCAGAAAAATGGAAAAGATGAAGAAAGAAAAGAAAATCAAGTGGATAAAGAAGCTGAAAATAATGCGGGAGCACCCAATGAAGTTCATGTGAATCACTACATTGATCGCCCTTATCCGGTGAAAGAAATTGTCGAAAAACATGTGCATATACCATATCCAGTACCAAATCCAGTACCAGTACCAGTGCATGTTGAACGATATATTGATCGCCCTTATCCTGTTGAGACCATAGTCGAAAAACCTGTACCCTATCCAGTGGAGAAGGTGGTTGAAAAATTGGTAGAGAAGCATGTTCCTGTGGAAGTTGAACGTATAGTCGAAAAGCCAATTGAAACTATTGTGGAGAAATTTATAGATCGCCCAGTGCCTATAGCTATACATGTGCCAATTGCCATTCCCATGTCCGAACACAATTTTGCACACTATAAACAAACATTTGCAGAACACAACAACCCCAGCAATTGGCTGCAGACCCCGGGAAGCGGAAATAGAAGTCTGCCACAAAAAGTGTTACAAAATTATTACACTCGTATGTTAAATAAATTGTTACCACATGTAACGAGTCACAAACCAAAGCAAACCACCGCCACAGCAATTACACATACGAACAAGTCGCAGAAATTTACTAGAACCACTAATGGGCCATCCACACAACAACAACTATTTAAAACGACAAAAACAGAGAACGATATGCGTTTTGATCTGAAACCACCACCACTACAATCACCAGCACCAGGCGCTAGTTGGTATCAAGGCGCACGCTACATATACAATACATTACCTAATGACTTGACTTCAATTTCTGCACAGCAAAGCAATCGTTATTTGGGTCCAGTCGATCCGGTATCCAGTGAACCATTTGATGAGTTCGAACGTTGGCGTAATGGACACAGTCTGAAACGAAGTCCTGAGTTTGGACGCAACTTACATTTAGAATATGGTTTCAAGCCACCTTTAGTACCTTCAGTGGAAATCGATGACAAAGGTATGCCTCTTAAAGCAGTTGCCGAAAGAAAGTCAGATGAATAGTTAGGTGGGAGCTTTTAAAATAATTTATTAAAATAAATATAACTTTAAGAATTTCTTTATAATTTTATTGAGTTATAATCAGTGCCAAATTATACAATTATTTATATATTATATTAAAATAAATATATATTATTAATACAAATAATTCACAAAGTTAACATATGTTTATGAGGTAAGTTTACCAGAAGGACTACGTACAAAATCAGACTTTTTGTTGTTGATTTTAGCAATATTTTTTTATAAGTAGTTATTAATAAAAATATTTTATCCGGGATCTTGAAGCAGCTAAATGCAACTTATTAAGTATAATTAAAGGTATTGAGGACGCTTACACCCCATGAACGATACTCAGTCATATGGTAGGGTGCTAGGTTGAAATACATCTGTCGGTAGCTCATATAGGTGAAAAAAAATGTCTCCGTGAGATATCCTGGAGATAATCATATACTGAATGTTAACATTTATTAACAATATTGTTAATAACAAATATTATTAAAAATAAATAAACTGTAAAGAGATGATGCTAAATGTTTAATTATAATAAATTAAATTTTAATTACAAAACGTTTTCACTTTTTTTTTCTACAAAAAATTCTTTAAAAAAAGCGAAGTAAGTGTTGCTAATGTTGTTAGTATTATTAAAATAAAATATATATTTTTTTTGTGTATAGAAATGTATCTCATCTCATCACTTCAACAGAAGTTAAAAACATACACAATTGTTAAAATAAAAAAATGCCGACGAAGGTACTCTGAAAAGATTTATATGACTGCTAATAAATTTTTCAAATTGACATACGAACGCAAAAGAGTTACTTGTACCCAATACCTTTATATGTCTAAATACAGTAGTGGACTCAAGAGCTCCATTAATGCTTATTTGAAACTTGAAACAAAAAAAATAACATTTTGCAGACAATCCTAAAGAAATTTTTATTTAATATACCAAAAATCAAAGATCTCAATATATATTTTAATAGATCTACGGACTTGAATTTCTTATTAAGCAAGGCTAATAATAATTTGATGAAGTCTTTACATCAAGTGATGTTTATTTTTCATATGACTGTATGGACTTTGACTTTGACTGACTTTGTATGGCACTTTCGAAAAACTTTGAATAGGTCAGTTATTGAATGTACATCAATCTGCTGATATGGACGAAGTCAATTGCAAAGATTATAACGACAGGTATTGTACATTACTTTGCTAAGGAATAAATAGTCATAGTCTTCTTCGAAGATTCAAAACAGAAAAAGAATTGTTATTTTGATAGTTCACATACCTTGTCATATTCATGGACCTAGTAGTGGTATTGAGTGTTGAATGAAACATTATTTCTTCTTGGAACCTGAGCCTGTTTGTAAATAAGAATTTTCGCTCTTGGTACGTTAATACATACGAGACTTAATTTCTATGAGAGTAATCTTTAAACAAAATCATCTCTTAATTAATTTACTATTATCTCTTATTTAATTGTATCAGTATTTTTTTTTTTCAATTGCAATTATACGGAAATACACTTTTTACAAATACTAAGCATCGGCGTCAAGACCACTTCGTGATATCAAATTGCATAAAAGCGTTTATGCAGAATCCAAATCTTAGTCAATCAAAAATACGTACAATGTATCTGACGCCTTTATTCTAATAAATAACTTATTGTCATCTCGAACGTATATGAAATGGAATTAAATTAATTTGAAATTATTCTATTGGTATGTTAAATAAAATAAATACTTATTTTGAAATTAATAAATACAGACGGATTTGAATAGCAAAGAAAAGACAAGAACAAAATTTTTTTTTTATTAAAATTTGGCTGACCATTCAACGCTGTTTCGAGTATTGCCAAGTACTCATCATCAGTGGTCTTAGTTAGTATATAATTTGCTTGGACTGTAAGTGCCAGACTTAGAACTCGTGAAGGTCAAATTAGAAGCAATGACTAATCGTGTTTTTCCACAAGTAGCCACGCCATAATAAATACGTTGTTGTGAGTAAAGTATTAAAGGTGGATTACGTAGTACTGCGTCAGAAGAGGCACTAATATGAAGAGACATATTAGTGACTTAACTATTGTAGTATAATCATGTTTTATTATGTATTACTGCCTTAAGTAAATTTTCAAAACAAGGAGACGTAATACCGCTTGGTGTACTTGTACAAGTCAAAGACATATAATAGGAGTGCCTTCCGTATTTTTTGATATCATCAAGATACAACACCACTGACTTGTTAAAGGCTGAATTAATTGTTGTAGATTAGCGAACACAGAAAAAGGTCTTTAGTTAGGCCAAGTGCACAATTCCATGCCAATTTTTATAGCTCGAAATCGTGTTTTTCTAAAATCGGTGTAATGCGAAACATTATCTTATAGGTCAGACATCTAAAAAATGTTACAAATATATGAACTCAATTATTTACAATCATTTACATTTGACACACACATCTTTAGTCCATAAATACTATTAAGATATAGGGTAATATCTGTAAGCGCACTGATACAAACCCTTTTCAACAAAATCCGTCAATGTTGTGTGCCATAAGTTGTGCATGAAAAGATTACCGAACATACCATTTGCACGTTTCTAAGCTTAAAAAGCTTAAACTTTCTACAAAATTTTCATTTTCATGGAAACTGTTGGCTTTAACTGGCATAATTTTAGGTGGCAATTGATAATGAAATTCCAAATTTTTTTGAGAAAAATTAAAGAAAAAATGGGAAAGAAAAATCTGTAGACAGAAAACTACATAGAATTTGTGAAAAATAGAGAAGAGCACATATGGAATGGCATTTGATTTCCTCAAACTGGGAAGTTGGATAAAAACAGAAATGGGTAACATATGTGGAAAGGCACTGCAATTCGACTTCAGTCGCTACTGAATACACAAGCGAACGTTCGCTTTTATTTAAAAATATATATTGAAAATGTTGACTTTAACAAGTCTAAGTCAAGTTAAAAAGGATATAGAAGCGATGTCCTTTATATACGAAAAAATAAATAATATTGCCATAAATTAAACGACAGCTTCGGTAGACGTGCAGAACTTGAGTAAGAATACGTATTTGTGCTCCAAACATTTATCAGAAAATTTTTAAATAAAATAAACAAAGTATTTTAGCAGCAAATATTTAAAATGAATTTTATTTCTATTTTTGTTTGTTAATTGCAAATTTTCAATTCATTCAACTTAATTGTCAACAGATACTTCACTTCAATTACACTTCTCGGGTACATTGTGCGCTCGGAATCGAATTTATGCCACAGTGGTGTCGAAGAACATGTAAGCAAATTCGGACATAGTGCTGAACACCATAGAACCATAGATTCTCATAAAATAGATGATTTTGCAGTACAATTTTTTTTTCGTACACGGCTTGATTTATTTCTTACATATAGACGCGGACAAAATTAAACAATCCCTAAGCTCTATTGCATGGCCGGACTGTTTCAACTCCCTTCTTTGCAATTCAGTACGTAATTGAATTTAATAAAATGAGTATCAAATTAAAATGTTTATAAAAATAAGATAACAATTTGACCATTTGTTGCAAGTGAAGTACATTAAGAGTTTAATTTGTGTACTGCAATTTGGAATTGAATTTTCAATTAAGAATTTTATCAACGAAATTCGCAATCCAAACTATGTGAAACTGTGACATAACAAATAATTAATTTAATTTAATTATGTGACCATATCTCTAAGTTACGCTCTGAGTTAAACTAGATTAAAATGTTTAACACATTGATCATGGACTGGGTATACCTAAAAAATCTGACTTCTATAACTACTTTTTGCTTAAATATACCTATTATAATCTGTTAATTGCTGTTTATTAACCCTACGTGTTAAAAACCTTGACGTGGTGTGGGAACTGAGATGATTCTCGTTGTAGACCCTTGATTTTATAAGGTGAAGCAATGGTTCTCTGATTTTAACAATCTTTCATAGATATTTTTACCAACATCTTTATTTTTCTTATATCTTCTAATGCCAGATACAAAAGGGTCAGGAAAGCAAGGGGTAACTGCATACCATGTATTTGGAGACTACACGGCACTGATGCACAAGTGGAAGAAACACCTAAGGGGCTTTATCATGGACCATATGGATTTAAAACTAGTAAAGATAGGCTTTATACTGTCTTTAATTAAAGAAATCGGACTTGGAGAAACACTCTAATCCGACTATGGGGCACAATAGATCTTTTGGGTAGCAGTGCACGATCCCTCATCATAATTCCTCATCATAATTCATAATATATTTACTTAGTATACGGAGGATTCCATTGCTGAAAAGTTAGCGGCAGCAGACTTTTATGGCCCAGGGCGGAATTACTTGAAAGCATTAGATAAACTTGATAAAAAAAAACTTTGTGGTTTGAGAGGAAATAAGTTCTTCTCACTTAGAGAAAGCTATGCTAGTATACGAGTAATATACCTGAGCTGTTGCAATTTACTTTTTTTCGAAATTTATTTAGTTTAAATTTTATTTAATTTTAAATGTTATTTTGTTGTATTAGGTTAATTTTATTTTTTTTTAAAAGAAAACGAATTGATTTGATTTAATTATAAATATTATTTAAATTTATTAACGAATTTAATATTTCGATAATCTTCAATAATCGTTTTCAGGAAGATTATTTATTTTTGTTTTTTTTAATTAATTCAGATTTTATGTTAAATTCCAAAAAATATTTGTTTGTGATTTTACATTTTTTTTTTAATTACTTTAAAAATATATATATTTTATTAATTTTATCATTATATCATTTAGAAATACTATTTTATGATTTTTTGTTAACCTTTCGATGTCCATAAATGCACCAAACTAATCAATAACTTCATAGAAAACGAATCTTTCAATGCTTAACCAATAAATTTTTCAATTTTGTTAAAGTTAATGGAACTACATTTGCACCTAAGTGTTGAGTCTTCTTACTCCAGTTCGGGTTTGGTCGAACACATAAATCCATCAATCTAAATAAGCAGAAACT